GGAATGGAGTTCTGGGAACTCGAAGAGCACGAAGTGTGTGACTGTTGCATCCGGCCCTCCAGAATGTGGCCCGGGAATGGAGTTCTGGGATCTCGAAGAGCACGAAGTGTGTGACTGTTGCATCCGGGTATTGAGAATGTGGCCTGGGAATGGAGTTCTGGGAAGTCGAAGAGCACGAAGTGTGTGACTGTTGGTGAAAAACGAGCCTGGCACCTGCCGCCCGGCAACTCCCAACACCTGCCCGGACCCCCCTGTGGAGTGATCTGCTGCTCTCTTTTGATCCCACTAGAAACCTATCAGTCTTCGCTGTTAGGTAAAAACTCTTCACACAAAGGCTCCCAAGAGCGAACGGTGACGTAAACAAGCTGATCAGACCAAGGCTCCCAGCAGGGAGCGATGACGTAACAAGTTCCTCACACCAAGGCCCAACCAAGGCTCAGGAACGGGCGGCAACGCAACAATCTCTGAACACCACGGCTCCCCAGAGCGCGGGGTGACGTAACAAGCTCTCAACGCCACGGCTCCCAGTACGAACGGTGGTGTGAGTAATTTTGGTATCTGTTTCTGAAGCGCTCTTTCCGTTTCTGTGCCTGGCCCTCGGCCCATCCCGCCACCGTGCTTGGGTTGCGCGTATGAAGCCTATTTGATGTTAGTTGGTATTTCATGCGAGGCTTCCTGGGGGCCTCCTGGAGGCAGTTTGGAGGCCTCTTGGGGGCGGGGGCCTCTTTTGGGCATCTTGGGGGCCTCTTGGGGGTGCTCCTCTTCTCGCCTGGGGAGCGGTGCGAGAGCGCCAAGTTGTTCGCGCTTCGCGCAGCGCAGGAGCGCGAAGCTGGGCGCCCTTGGAAAGGGGGGCGGGGCGGCCGACCGCCTTGACGGCTCTCTGGCGGCTGGGCCCGCGCACGGCCGCCGGCCTCCCGAGACGCCGAGACGATGCTCGTCGATCGTGGAATGTAGGTGCTGGAGAGGCCAGCGGGCCACTGCCGCCGACCCTGAACGACCACGACGACCACGACGACGACGACGACGATGCTGACGTGGGTCAGAGTTCTCAGGGATGCTTCTTGAGGTCTCTTCGGAGCGCTCTCGGGGGCCTGCGGGGGTAGTTTTGGGGCACATCGGGAGCCTCTTGGGGGCCTGTTGGGAGGCTCCAGGGGGCCTCTCGGGGCTTCCTGGGGGCCTCTTGGGGGTCTCTTGGGGGCCTCCTGGGGGCTTCTTGGCGCTTCCTGGGTGCTCGTTGGTCGTTGAAAGTAGGTAGTTTGGGACATCCAGATCCCAATCTACTTTGGGCGCCTTCCTACTTCAAGAGTCGAGCGGTTGTCCATCTTCCCTCCTCTTCAGGGGGCGGGCGGGAACCCAATCTACTTCAACGCCTTCCTACTTCGTGTTTCTAGCCGCTTCTTCCGACCGACGGGTACGTGTGCATGGCTCCCGGGGCCATCGCCATTTTCAAGTTTCGGAGGAGGAGGAGGAGGAGGAGGAGGACGTGGTGTACGGTCGGACCGAGGCATAAGATCGAGGTCGGTCCGGGGAGGGTACCCTGATGTTCTTCGTGCTTGTTGGATGTTATTGTGCATCCTGGAGGAGGGCACCCTCGAATGTTGTTCAGTTTGGCTGGCGGAGGGTCTCAGATTCTTGAAGGATGTTTTTCTGTGTTCGGCCGGGCTTTAGGAGAAGGAGGTTGTAGATAGACAGCCAGGAGCTCTACCCCCGTCCCTCATGAGTTGTGAGGAGCGATGTTTTGAGATAGCGGTGCCCTCGGTTTCTCAGGTGCGTCGGTCTGGATTTCCTGCTCGGGGGGTTGCAACGGTCTTAATCCTCCCCATCGAGAACTCGTCATGCGGAATCTCACCGAAGGCGCTGGTTTCTTGTAGGTCGGGCCATAGGCCCTGATGTGCAGGCGATCTGGTGCAGGCGGTGCGGAGATTTCGCCGACACGAAATGCGGCCTGGAGCTTGTGGGACAGAGCCATTTGCAACACCAGAGAACGGAAGTACGGGCTTCTGAAAGGCAAGCTCCATGGAACGTGTCAACGTGTCTGAGGTTGAAACTACGGTCCCGGCCGCTCTCTCAATGGGAGGGGGGTGCGGGCGGCGAGGGGTCAGGAGCAGACAAGTGACTAGTGCAGGATTGTCGCATTCCTTTCCATGCCCCCCTGGTGCTATGTTCTTGCGTGCACTTGCTGTGGATTGCAACGCACCACTGGAAACTATGAGCTGATGCAGCGGCGGAGACCGAGCCAAACCAGGGTAGGTGGGCGAGGGGCTTGGGGAGAAGGTAAGAATAGTAACATCCAGACGACGCTTGCTCATGGTGTCGGTGTACATGTGCTGTCTTTCCACTACCAGACGGGGTGGTGCGTCGGAGAGGGGGCGATGGTCGCATCCGGGGAGGGGGGTGAGACAGCGCGACGTGTCGGGGCTGCAGGGCGACGATGCTCAGGGTGCACACCGTGTGCGATTCGCCTTGAAGGGTGGCTGCGACAGGGCGCAACCAGCCTGTTTGGGGAACGTTGCGGCTCGCAACGACCGTTTAGAGGAGGACGAGGAGGAGGAGGAGGAGGAGGAGGGAAGCAGGAGCAGGAGAACATACCCGTACCAATACTCTTTCATCGGTTTGCTTGTTGGGGCCTCCTGAGGGGCCCTCATCGTCACGGCTGGACATGCTTCGGGATATCTTGGTCAGAACGCACCCCAGAATATTTTTGCGCAGCAGCCGTATCGGTATCGGTTTGCTTCCTTGTGCAGGAGCAGGCGTTCGGGATCAGTGCCAGCTGAGCAGGATAATGACATGGTGTCCCTTCTGGGTCCTGGCACCACCACCATCACCACCACCACCACCACCACCACCACCACCACCACCACCACCACCACCACCACCACCACCACCACCACCACCACACCGCCACCTCCAATCCTCCGATTCAGCAGTGCTGTCAGCACTGGGTGCAGTTCGGGGTGCTGGCTACGGGAAGCAAGGCAGTCTAAGATCTGACACGAAGATCGAGTGGAGGTTGCTCGGGCATCCAGTAATCGTGCGCGTGGTTGGAGTGGCGAGTTAGCGCGTGGCTCGCAATGGTTTTGAATCATGTGTGCCCACACCCTTGAGCGAAGTTGGAGGCGCCTCCAGCCTCCCTCGCGCGTTCCGCGCGCTGGGAAGGTTGTGGGGAGGCGGGTCCAGCGTCGACTGAAGACATCCGCGTGGCCATCCAGAATCTTCAGTTGATGTTGTGTTTGTCTTCTTCGCGTGAGAAGCGGGTGGCTGAATTTTTACAATCATAACGAGCAGGGTCACGCGGAAAGCCAGCACCCGACACCGACTAGCTTTATTGGGTCAGATCGAGAGGAGCTCGAGCGATCTTACTCTGTCCGTGGGCGCTTGGCGGAAACGAGCAGGAGGAGGCTGGCGCTGCGTTCTTGCTCTTTCGGTTGCGGTCGCCCCCACCCCTTCATCGCGACCCGCCTGCTTGTGCGCTAGTACGGAACCCACGTCCAGCGATTGACCCGCGACCCGCTCCGCCCGCATCGTGCCCGCGACTTGCCCACGACCCACCCTCGGTCCGACTCCCGAGCCAGACTCGACCGACCATCGATCCTTCCGCGACCCGACCTGCGACCTAAACGAGACCCGCCCCGCGGTCCCTCGACGACCCACACGCGACCCACCCACATGTCATAAAGATATTTAGTCGGTCCCCGAAGCAGGCTATTTGCCGCGACCCTGGCCCCCCCGCGACCCGCGATCCATCATTCTTATATATCCGCAAGTGCGGAGGCATGTAACATGACTTAGGGTCGGCTGCCAGCAATGATCGGTGCTGTCTGAGGAACCACGCTGCCCTACGCATGACGTCGGGCTTTTGTCCTGTAAGCACAGTGCGGGCGGCGGCTGGCCAGACATTCGTTTCGGAACTCTTGCAAGCACGGATCTCGTAGTGGCCTGCGAGACATCAGCGTGGGGGTGGACGGAAGATAGAGCGCTTGGTATCGTTCGGAGGTGTATACTTTCCTCGGCGAGGACCATCGGGGAGCATCTTAGACCACCTTGCAAAACAATAAAACAAACATACGCTCACGAAGTCGAAAGTTGCACGGGGAATGGGTGTCCGAGCGATGGCAGGAGCTCGAAGAAGAAAACAATGCATACACATGAACTTTCGGCGTTCCGCGCAGATTTCTTGGATCGGCGCTTGGGCCACCTGGCAGCGCCTCCGGCGCCCCTGGCGCGCTCGCGCGCCAGGGAAGGGGACCCGGCGCCGCTCCAAGAAAGTAGCGCGGACCTCCGTCAGTTTGCGAGGCTCCAGGTTCTGGACCATGGCACGTCTGTGACACGCAGCCGCCCCTGCTGCGCGCACGAGGCCGCCAGATATCGGACGGGGCTAGGACGAGGATAAATCCGTTCCAGAGCGTTCCGAAACTGTTTCTGAGCGTTCCGGAACGCTCCGAGAAGGCCGCGGCGAACCGCCAGATCTCAGAGATTCCCGGTCTATCCTCGCCCGATCTGATCTTTGCCTTGGCTTCGTCTTAGAGAAAGATGCCGCCGAAGGCCGAAGGCGACCGCCGAAGGCCGACGGGCGCGACGGGGTCCGTGGGCGAGCGCGGAGGTCTCCGCAGGCCTCCCGCCTGGAGGCCTCCGCCGTTCGCTCGACCCTGGCTGGCACGCTGTGGTCTCAGGCCCTCGAGCCCTGCACAGTGGGCCGAGGCGGCCTCCTCCAGGCCCGCGTGGGAGGCGGGGGAGTCGGGCCACGGGGCTTGGGCCCCCCCCGTCCTCGTCCTAGCAGGGCCCGCTGGCTTCGACGGCTGGCCTGCATGGGACGTGAGATGCGTGGGGGGTCCCGCGGAGAGGCTCCCCCCCGAGGCTCCCGCGGGCGCGCGGGGAGGGGCCGAGCGCGTCCGGGAGCTCCGATCCTCCTGCCCTTCCGGTGCGGGGTCCGCGCTTGCCTCCCAGGTGGAGCCTCCGCCCAAGCCTCCGCCCAAGCCTCCGCCCTCGGCCCTCGCCGCCAGGCGTGCCCCCACGAGCCCACGGCGCGGGTGGCGCGCATCCTCTTTTCGGAGCTCGCCAAAAGGACCCCCCACCTGCCACTGTGGGGGGGCGGGTGAAGAGGAGGAAGTGGGCTCGAGGATCAAGGTTTTCGGGCGTTCTTGATCCTTGATGTTCCTGCAGGGAGGAGGACTCAGGATTAACGCGCTGGTGCGTTTTTGGGGTCTTCGGGAGGGAGGTGGATCGAGGATCGAGGCCTCGGGGCGTGTTTGGGATGTCCCTAGGCTTCGGAGACAGGAAGAAGGGGTTTCCCCACCCCGGCATCCCCCACCCGCGCGAAGAGTGGAGCAGAATGGCATGTTTTTGAAACCCTGTTTTGCACCGTGACGAGTAGGTGGAATAGTAAATGTTCTGCTCCCCGGGCTTATCATGCGACGAGTAGAGTAGAACAGTATGACAGCTGCCACTTTTTTATTACCATGTGACGGTGAGAAGGCGCGAGTGGTGTGATGCTTTGTAGTTCTTCTGCGTTATCCCAGTTTCCAGTTGAAAGCGCCTGCGAAGTCATAGAGCACGAAGTGCCTGATAGGTGTGCCGAGCTTTCCTTGTCGCTTTCGTCGTTGGCGTCAGCGACGTTGTCGGCGTTGACTTCGTCGTCGCCAGCCAGCGCGAAATGGGAGAGGGGTCCGCCCGCCTGCGTTGCCACGCGATGAGTAGAGTGGACTAGTATTCCCCCCCGAAGGCGTTGGCATGCGACGAATAAGCTAGAAAATGATTGGTTTCCGTCCCTGCATTCCCATGTGTGAGACAAATAGAGTAGACTGCTACTTGTTCCCACCCTGATGCGGTGCCATGTGACAGGGTGAGTAGAAACGCATCTGCATCCGCCCCCTTGCGATGACGTGCGGGGTCACGGTTGGCAGCAGCTCCCCGTTGGGGACCGCTCGAGGTCAAGCGGTGAAGGCTTGGGAGATGGATTGGATCGCCCGAGGGGCCAGAGGGGAAGTGGTCGGCGGGCCATGAGGACCACCAATGTGATCTATAACTTGCTCCCCCAGATCATCACGAACCTGCCCAACCACCAGGAGGGCCCTTCGCGCCGCAAGGGGAGGTAGGGGGGTGGGCAGCTGGAGGGCGCTGAGGCAGGACCCACTCCTTCCCATGGCTCCCCCCAATCCCACCCGGGCTCCTTCCATTCTCTCCCTCCGTCTCTCCCTCTCTCTCTCTCTCTTTCTCTCCCTTTACCCACCTCTCTCCCTCTTTTGTTCTCTCTCTCTCTCTCTCTCTCTTCCTCTCTCTCTCTCTCGCTTTGTCTGTCTCTCTCCCTTCCCAACGCCATCCTCCCCTCCCTCTTTTCCTCTCTCTCCCTCTCTCACTCCCTTCCTCTCGTTCTCTCTCTCGCTCTCTCTCTCTCTCTCTCTCAGCATGGGTCTTCGAGGCCAAGGGGAAGGTGCGTTCGCCAGGATTACCCACAATCGGTGCTTCCCTGGCGTGTAGACAGGTGGGTGTGGCCATCTGAGATGTGAGTGTGAAAAACATCCTCTCGTCTTTCCTTTTTTTTCTCTCTCTCTCTCTCTATCTCCCTCTCTTTCTCGTTTTCTTTCTGCCTGTCTGTGTCGCTCTCTCTCCCTCTCTCTTTTTCTCCGGATCACTGTCTCCTTCGTTCTCTGTCTCTCTCTCTCTCTCTCTCTCTTTCTGTTCTGCCTACTTATTCGTTTTCTCTGTTTCACAATATCTCTCTTCGTTTTCTCTGTTTTAATATCTCTCTCTATTTCTCTACAAGTGTATGTATGTGGGCATATGTACATGCATACAAGCGTATATATATATATATGTACATACATATATATATATATATATATATATATATATATATATATATATATATACACATGCATACTACCTACCTGCCTGTCTGCCTGCCTGCCGACCAACCTACCTTCATACATACATACCCGCTTATATACTGGGCTACAGTGGCGGGGGTTCCCTGCCAGCCGCCTCGCGTCGCCATGGGCGCCCCAGCCTCCGGGAGCCGTCCACGAGGGGCCCTGAGCAGCCCCCCCTCACCAAGGTAGCGACTCAAGACGCCTAAGAGAGCCTCCAGACAGCCCAGGATGCCTCCAAGACGCCCCACGAAGCCGCCGAAAACTTGCCCAAGAGGCCCCAAGGGCCCATTCCCGCGCATTTTACGACGGTGTTGATGGTTTTTTACGAGTGCGAGTGTCCAGCTCTGGTGCAATCCGAACCGGCCTCAGACGCCCCCGAGTTCGCTCTGAGACGGCCCAGCGAACTTCCAACACGACCCAAAAACATTCTCAGACGGCCCCCAGACCTCCCACGAAACCGCCAACCAGCCCCTCAGACCTGCCCAACACGATCCAGGGAGCCCCTCCTCGCCAAAATAGCAACCCAAGACGCCCAAGACAGCCTCCAGACAGCCCAAGATGCCTCCAAGACGCCCCAAGAGGCCGCCGAAAATCTGCCCAAGATGGCCCCCAGGGCCGAACCCCATAGATTTTGCGAGGGTCTTTGCTGGATTTTCACGCGTGCGCGTGTCCAGCTCTGGTGTAATCCGGAACGCCCCCAGAGGCCCTCCACTTTGCTCTGAGACGGCCCAGGAGGCCTCGTTGAACACGGCCCGAAGATAGCTTCAAAAGGGCCCTCGAAGCCGCCAACCAACCCCCCCGAACGCCAAATCGCCAAAATATAAATTTCAAACGCCCAAGACAGTCTCCAGGCGCTCCAAATGCATCCAAGACGCCCCAAGAAGCCGCCGACGACATGCCCAAGGAGCCCCGAGAGCCGAATTCCGTGCATCTTGCGCCGGTTTTCGAATTATTTTTGCCGTGTCCCAAACGGCATCGAGCTCGCTCTTATCAGGCGGAAAACTGCCACTGAGGCTTATAAGGCAACCCACGAAGCCGCCGTCAAGCCCCCGAGACGTATCCAAAACTGTCCAAAAAGCCTCATTCACCCGCCGTAAAGCCCACAAGACCTGCTTCAAATTGACCACACAGGCCCCCCATCACCACAAGGACGACCCAAGACGCCCAGGACAGCCTCCGAAACGCCCTGGGTGCCTTTAAGACGCCCCATGAAGCCCCCTGCAACCATCCTAAGAGCGCCTCATGATGGCCGAGGAGGGCCCCGCGACACTCGCGCGCTGCCCCCAGTGCGAATACCTCGGGCACTCGCGCGCTGCTTCTCTGCCCGGCGAATGCCAGCCCATCCTCGGTGCGGTACCTTGATTGTTTTTGGTCGCTTCTCGAGCCGCTTTTCCGCCTTCGCTCTCCTCGTCGTCGTCGTGGTCCTCCTCCTCCTCCTCCTTCTCCTCCTCCCCCTCCCCCTCCTCCTTCTCCTCCTCCTCCTCATCCTCCTCATCCTCCTAGCCCCCTGCTCCAGGAGTGCCTGCATCGGGGCTGGATTACATACAGCCTCCCGCGAACCGCATCTTGCGTTGAGGGTGGCGGTTCCCCTCGGCCAGTCTCCTGCACTCACTCTTTACATTTGTGCGATGGGCGTACTCGCCTCTTGTTGCTCGCATTTCACGTTCGTGCATTGGAATTGCATGGCTGCAGACGAGGCTCGGTTGCATGATATCAGTGAGGAATTCAAGCATGTGATCAACATCATTGCGCTCGCCAGCACTTGCGAACCGGCGGCCCCCGACCAACCTGTGGTGTTCGCGACGCTACGCTACCACTTTGTTATTCGAAGCGGATGTGTGTCTTGACAGGCTTGCAACCCGTTCATGCGGGATAACTCTGCTACTGCGACGGTGCGTCTTCCGGCGAAAACGCGCGGTGGACGCGCCGCCTGTTCCTCTTTCTCTCCGCGGCAGAGTAGCTGTGTAACTGGGCGCGGGCGATAATGAAGTACCCCCCTTTTATACCCTCTATGTTTTTACCCCCGCGCAATGGGATTTCATTGCGGAGGAAGGCGCGGATGCCGAACTTTATAATCCACGGGAAAGTCGCGGATATCGAAGTTGCTGTCATATCACGTATGCTAGCAACAGCATCAAAACGCTGGGCATGGCCATCATGGTCTCACCACACCAGCTCCCGCAATCGCGAGCGTGCGGCAGGGCTGTGGGGTTCTCACCAGTTCAGCTTGTCCGCGTTACGAACGTGCGGCGGGGCCATGGGATTCTTATTTTCCTAGCCGTTCCCGGGTCATGAACGCGCGGCAGGGCCATCGGGGCCGATTGGATTTTGATAGTGCGTGCGTTTTTCGTGCAGGCAGAGCATTTCAGTTAAGTGATTTGTTTTAGCGCACCCCTCACGCGGTTCCTGGCCCTTTCTCCTCCTCTTCCTTCCCCCTCCCCTTCCCCCTCCTCGGCCCCCCCAGCTGCCCGGGCCCGAGCTTCCCCGAGTCTTCGAGACCCCGAGCTTTCGAGCCCTTTTCGAGGCGCCGAGCCCCTTCGCCCAAGGGGTGGAGGTATGGGGGGGTAGGCGTGCCGAGCCTGCCCTGGAACGCGCGGATTCACGATCGGGCGCGCGTCGCCGATGCATCGGCGACGCGTCGCCGATTCCAGGCCGGCGCCCCCCCCAATGCCTATCCCCCCGCGCCGTTGCCCCCGAGTGCGTCGCGAGCCCCAGCGACGCCCCAGCTCGCCGAGCGCGCCGCGGCGGCGAGCGCCCCCGTCGAGGCCCTCAAGAACGCCGCGACCCCGAGCCCGAGCTCGAACGAGACCCCCGAGCGCATGGCCAAGCAGAACGAGAAGATCCTCGAGGAGCTGGCATTCATCGCGGACAAGTGCGCGATCGCCGAGATGCGCCAGTGCCAGTCGAGCGCGCAAGGCGCGGATGCGGCGAGGACGACGAGCTGCCATTCCAAGGCCGAGAGCGCCCTGTGGCCAAGCAGCGCCCAGCAAGCCGTGCTCGACATGGCGCGCCAAGGCGGGTCCCACAAGGGCACCGGGTACGGCCGCGCCTTCAACGAGAAGGGCAAGAGGCGCATCGAGCTGGCCGTGGCGGTGTTCTACACGACCTACTGCGAGAAGGACGAGCGCGCGCGCGACATCTACGAGAACCACGGGGAGCCGACCGAGGACCTCTTCTGGCTCATGTCGAGCTTCAGGGCCAAGCTGCAGGACCTCGCCAAGAAACGTGGAGCTCGCTGCCGAGAGCGCCAAGGAGCTCACCCGCGGCTCCTACGCCGAGCGCATCGGCCATGCCCCCCGAAGCATCCCCGCCGAGCTCCTCCACCCCCGCGAGCTAGTGCTGCCGCTCAACGAGAAGTTCGAGCCCGTCGAGCACTCGGGCGAGGGGCCCGCCGACAATTCCGAAATGCTTTACGCCATTGTTCCGAGCAGGGCCCGAGGGCACGTCTCGTGGTGCAGCGGGGCCTCCACGGTCTCGATCGCGACCAACGGGGTCGCCGAGGCCACCGCTCAAGCAATTATCAAGTGGCGCTGGCCCCATCAAGATGGCAGCCGACATGAGCAACGAGCTGCAGGAGCAGACCTGCCAAGACAAGTGCGCCAATCGGGACTATTCGAAAACCGTCGAGCAGCAGGGGCGCGAGCATATGCTTCTCGAGAACGACATCAAGCTGCACTTCGACAAGTTCGCGTCGATCCAGGCCGACTACGACGAGCCCATCAAGAACAGGAGCGATGGCGAGAGGAGCCAGGCTGGCGCGAAGGCCGAGTCAGAGCCCACCTCGCCCATGCCCGCGGAGCTTGGGCGCGCGAGCTCCCCGAGCCAAGCGCCCCGTGTTTTCGTTGCGAGGGCGCCGTTTCGAGGCGCGCGCTCGAGCCCCGTTTCCGCTCGGGCGCGCGCGAGTGGCGTTCCAAGCTGCGGAGCGCTACCCCCCCCCCCTCGCCGAGTGATTCTCGATCAAGCACCAAGGAGTCAAGCAGGCTCGATCCTCCATCCTCGGATCGATGGCCCGAGATCCTGAGCCCGAGAATCTTCGAGCACTTTGGGACCTAGATTCGAGGGTCGCCAAGCTTGGGCTCGAAGATCCCGGGTTCGCGATCCGAGGATCGAGGATCGAGCTTCGGCGATCCTCGATCGTCACATTGCCACCGAGCATGCTCGATCCGTCATCCTTGGGCCGATGATCCGAGATCTTC